CAGGAAACTGCGTGCGTAAGTGTGACCAGCTATCAAACCCAAACGTGTCGTTTTGCTATGCATCTAGCAAGCTTCTTCAACTGGGAAGCGTGCATGCCACGTACAGACTATGGGCATAACCCATGGCCCAATGAAATTGGGTGTGGGCCGGAAAAATTATTTGATCTTCTCTCAGAACTGCGGGTATGAGGTAATAGTATTCGGGTCTGAATTACGAATTGCTGGACGGTCCATTTGATTGGAGAGCGCGGGATATAATGTGCCATTATAGGCCTCCTCGGGCACAACTCGGCCGGCGCGTATTTAGCGCCATGACAATGTTTCGCCCCGAAAATCTGATGCAGAAACTACATTCAGAGAGGTGGGGATGATGCGCCCGCCTGGATTGTCAGAATAGGTATCTATTTTATTACGGCGGCACATTGGCAGTCATTTCAGCATGCGGTAACATAGAAATGCAAATTTCGGTCAGTCAGCCGGGGGACGCATCCCTGCGAACCACTTGTGTTCGTAACCTTGTTTGGCGACTCACAGGGCGTCAGAAAAAATGGAGCCTGAGTTATTGTACTACACGCGCATGTGCCCTTTATCCAGGCAAAACCGTTTTCAAAAAGGGCTCCATGTCCTGAAAGAGCTTCCTCGTAAGGTGTACGACGTGAGGAAATGTTTACATTCTCACGCACGCTTCATGGGAAAGCGAAGAAATTAGTACGAGGTGAGACACTACCGTTAATCCTTACTCCATGGGAACGTTGCTGCTGAACGCCCACGACAGAGTCATTCGAACCTGTCGACATCCCGTCAGCAGTTCAACGCCGAAATGGCATCAGCCTTAAGGAGCGAAAGAAGAACTTTCTCATGCCAGCCCGTAATCTTCAGAGAGCTGCTGCTAACATCTCACCTTCTCTTTTCGAAGACGTACAGCTCGCTGAAGATCACGTTATTGCGAATGCGCAGATCAAGGACAATGAAAAGGCCCTCGGTCTCGCACATCACGTATTATCTCGTGCCTGCGACTATGCCACTCAAGTTAGAGATTTAGCAATGCAGCATGCACTTGAGGGAGAGTCGGAAGAGGTGCGCCGTGCACTGGTTAGCGACTATATGTCCCACTGGATTGCCAGTGGGGGAGAAGCTGCCCAGGATACGGCGAACGATCTTCTGGCTCACCTTGAGTTTGCATTGCAATCTATGTCGCAAGGCAACGTTACTGTCGTCGCCATTCCAGTCCGTCCTCAGACGTTACCAGGAGTTAGGCCTACTACTTTGACCCGTGGTCAGTTGTCCCATTGCTCCGAGGAAGAGCTCTTCCGGGAACAGGACAACCAGCCACAGGGCCCTAATACGTCAGAGGGAGTTACCTATCCAACTTCGGATCCACCGCGACCCGAAACAGGAGGAGTAACCCTTCCTAATTCGTTGCTCGATCGCGCTATGCACGATCAAGCTATTCGTTTACCGTCGTTCGATCTCCCCGTATTCTATGGAGATGTTGCTAAGTTCGCAGAGTTCTGGGATCTATTGATTCTGCGGTTCATTCGAACCGTATAATTCCATCTACAATCAAGTTCCATTATCTCAGATCTTTGCTTAGGGACGAAGCACTCTCTATGATATCCGGGTATGAGATCACAGAAGCCAACTACGAGCTGGCAGTTTCTACGTTACGGGAGACGTATCTACGCCCCGAATTAATTCGTTTCCAGCTGAGTAGCCGGCTTCAAAATCTCAAACCGGCTAGTCTCTCAGCCATAAACCAACGTATTACGCTAGCGCAGGTCAAGTCACTCTGGCTTCAACTTAGTAAGCTCGGTGACCATGACGATAACATTTATGTTACGTGCATAATTCGTGAGAAGTTTCCTCCGAAGACGTTGGAATGCGTGGGCCATCTACAGGCGAAGAATCCGGCAAAGTGGGGAGTCACACAACTTCTCGAGGCACTTGACCAAGTGGTCAAGACCTTTGAGATAGTTGAAGATTCCACAGTAGCCAGATTCCAGCCGTCTGACGCGATGGCAATACGATCATTTTCGCGTTCCTCGTCTAGAGGATCTTCCTATAGTCCGTCTAATCGTGAACGATCTAGGAGGCAGAGTCAATCACCAAGGCGTGCACGCCAGAGATCGTCGTACTCCGTAGCACGCTGTGACTTTTGTCGATCAACGCACCATCGCACAACTCAATGCAATCGAGTAACATCCATAAGAGTGCGGTGGAGCATAGCGACACAAGCACAGTTGTGCTTTAAGTGTTTTTCGCGTGACCACAGAGTGGAATGTTGTGATAAACCACCATGTTCAGTGTGCCAAGGCGAACATCACATCATGCTCTGTCGACAAGCAGTGAAGCACTCATATCGTTCGAGGAGCAGCAGGTCCACTAGTCGGTCTTCTAGATCATCTAGTCGAGGTAGGGAACTGTACCGTCAATCTCGTTCGCATCGTGAACGAGCAAGATCACCTAGACGATACAAGTCACCACCACCAACCTACCGAAACGGATCTCCGCATCCGCGTGCGCTGCTTACTCGCATTCGTGATTCTAACCAGAATTTTGAATCATACTACGTTGATCTCGTAGAGACAGAGGAGGAGGATTCCCAATCCGATCCCTCGGTCCAATCGTTGCTTACACGGAAATCGCCCGACGAACCCCGTCTCATGGTGATTACTGCTCCAACGCATAACTATACTACGTCTTCAGATGAATTGGTTCTGCTGCTGCTAGATAGCGGCGCACAACACAGTTTTATCAGAGAAGCTACTGCGATAAGGCTTGGACTTCGATTCGAAGATCCACAGTCCCTTACTACGAGGAGCTTCGGAGGTCATACAACCACCGAAGTTTCATATTCCGTTACACTTGTTCTGCGAGATCAGAGCGGCGCACCAATGCGCCTCACTCTTAGAACTCGCAGAGTCACTACGTCCATTCGGGCAGATGCCCACATTTCTAGGGACACTGCCGAATTACTGCGTTTGTCGCGTGCACATAATCATTCTATGTCCGATAGGGACGTCGATGTGGACATTCTCATTGGCATAGAATATTATTGGGAGATTGTCGATCCGACAATAGCACGTCGACTATCGTCAGGACTTACGCTTATCCATACGCGATTCGGACCAGTAGCATCAGGGTCGAAGTATTCACCCTCCACACGCGTATCTTCTATTCAATCAACATTTTCATCTAGCTTAAGTTTACAAACGTGTGTGAAGGATGAAGAAATCGAGCCTGACATATCACGGCTCTGGGATCTCGAATTCATAGGAATCACAGATAGCATGAGTCCTCGTCAGGACGAGCAGGTTAATACCGAAGTCGGCCAGCGTTTCTACGATACTGTCCAAGTTATCGACGGTATCATACACGTACAGTTTCCATGGAAAAAGAATCATCCGCGGTTGGCGGATAACAAGTTTCTCGCACTAAGGCGTTTGGAATATCAATACGATACGCTTCGTGATCGAGAAGATGTATGGAAACAATATTGCGTTACCTTTCAGAACCAGGAAAGATCTGGCATCATCGAAGAGGTAGCTGAGTTCGAGTTTGATGGACCCCAGGTATATTATATGCCTCATCAAGCGGTCCTGAAAGCTGAGAGCACAACTACTGCAGTGAGGATTGTCTTCGATGCTTCCAGTCATTGTAAGAACTCACCGAGTCTTAATGACTGTTTGCATCAAGGACCCACACTGCTACCAGATCTTGCTGGTGCATTACTACGTTCTCGTTTATCACAGTTCCTTGTTATTGCTGATGTGGAAAAAGCTTTCCACCAGATTCGTCTCCAGAAAGATCAGCGAGACGCAACGAGATTCTTGTGGTTACGAGATACTACGTGTCCACCTACCTTGGACAATATTCGTATCTTCCGTTTCACCCGCGTAGTATTCGGTATAAATGTTTCGCCATTTTTACTGAATATGTCCATCAAATACGCGCTCGAGCGGGATGATCTTAATACGTTAAGGGATGAGGTGCTTGCAAATACCTATGTGGATAATGTGCTCATCGGTGCTGACAGCACCGAGGAATGCATTGAGAAGCAGAGGCAATGCAAACAAACCTTCCATCGTATGGGCATGAATCTTCGGGAATTCATGTCCAATAATACGTGTGTAATGGAACACATTCCAGAACACGATCGTATGAAAGCAGCCTCGAGTGAAGTCAAGCTGCTTGGATTGAAGTGGAATCCAACTCAGGATACCATCCACATCCGAGTACAGCTTGCTCTTCATCGAGTTAATACGAAGCGCACTGCTCTTCGAGCAGTAGCGTCCAATTTTGACCCATTAGGGTACCTTACTCCGTTGTTCGTCGATGCCAAGATCTTTATTCAAGATCTTTGGAAAGACAAGTATTCGTGGGATACACCATTCAGTGGAAAGTATTATGCCAGATGGCAGGAGATCGTAGATCGCATAGATGGGTACACTTGCTCTGTGCCCAGGTTCATCTTACACAAAGATGAACACACCCAACACGAGCTCCTGTTATTTGCAGATGCTTCTTCACGAATATATTCCGTCGTAGCTTACTTATTGAGTAGAGCCCCTAATTCGGTTACACAATCTCACCTCCTTATGGCGAAGACGAGGTTAGCACCTGTCAAAGAGACTAAGATTCCTCGTCTTGAATTGATGGCTTGCGATATAGCTGTATCGCTAGCTCAATTCCTCCTTAAGGAGCTAAAGATTGCCGTTCAAGCGGTTCGATTCTTTTCGGATTCGCATATTGCGTTATATTGGATCCATACGGATCGCACTATGAAGGCGTTTGTCGCAAATCGCGTAAACCGTATTCGTAGTGCTCTCAAACAACTTGCCTCGAGTAACATCGAGGCCAAGTTTTATTACGTCGCTTCAGAGTCCAATCCAGCGGATTGTGCCACCAGAGGTCTCTCAGCTGAGCAGATCTCGGACACATCTGGTGGAACTGGACCTGAATACGTTCGTAGATGTCCCTCGACATGGCCATACCCAACGATGAACTTTACCAAATTGCATAACTCGACTCCAGAATTGGAGTCTGAGTTCAAGGTTTCTTCTCTCTCGTTTATGGAAGAACATCGTTCAGTGTTGCCATTTCAAAGGACTAATGACTATCGTAAGTTACTTCGTATAGCGGCTCTCGTACTCAAGTTTCTTCGGAAACGAGTATATGATCGAGTTCCGCCTCATCGTCAAGTACGTCTCGGCCAGGTAATTCCACTTTTAGCAGTCTCATCAGATGCGGAAGTCGTAGGTGAGGACATTCGAGCTGCAGAACTGTTACTTCTCCGTGAACATCAACGTGAGAGTACAGTTCAATTGCGCTTGCGTCCGGTTAATAACAAATTCACCTACCATGACGATACCGGTCTGATCCGAGTCGCTACACGGATGAGAAATGCCGAGCTAATACGTACGGTCGACGAGCCCGTTTTACTCGCGCCAAATCATTTGCTGACCACTATGATCATCAACAGATGTCACCAGACTCTGTTCCATGCGGAAACAGAACAGTTAGTCAGCGTATTACGTCGTAGGTATTTCATACCGCGTATTCGTGCGACCGCTCGTTCGGTGATCAGAGGATGTGTACCGTGTAGGAGGCAACAAGCACGACCCTACAAGTACCCCAATCCTCCAGATTTTCCGATCGAAAGGGTTACCCGTAGTCGACATTTCCAGCGGATTGCTCTCGACTATTTCGGACCTTCTTAGTTACGGTCGCTTCGTCAGAAACTCGTAAAGTCTGGGTATGTCTATTCACATGTATGACTACAGAGCTTTACACCTCGAGTTGGTTTACACAACTCGGCGACAGAGTTTCTATGCGTTTTCGACGATTCGTTGCCAGAAAGGTTCTCCTGACCTTATTGTCAGTGATAATGCTCCTACCTTCAAATTGGCAGTGAAATTCTGGTTAACGAGCTGCCTCGGATCCAACATGATCAGGCAGTCCGTCAATTTATTTCGTCACACCGCTCCGATGGAAGTTCATCACTCCCCTTTCACCATGGAAAGGTGGATTTTATGAACGTCTCATCGGAATGGTCAAGCGTTCATTGAAGAAGACGATTTGTCGTAATACGTTAGATATTCGCACCTTCGAAACTCTGTTATTAGAGATCGAAGCAATGCTGAATACCGACCGTTAACAGCCGTTTACATGGAAAATACCGGAGAATCAGCGGTTTGAGGCCAATAAACCTATTAGTCCATATTATCATCTGGACTTTTCTTTCCCCAATCGCTACTAATCCGAGACTCCATTATTACGTTTTTGAGCGATTCAGAGACGAAGCAGTCCTGAAAGCTCACCATGAGCAGCTCATTAATACGTTAGACTACTTTTGGTCCTTGTGGCGAAAGGACTACCTCCAGGCGTTGGCGGAACGCACACAAAGCGCACCTAAAAAAGCGCAAAAGTTCGTGTTCGTGGCCCACTCTTGGTGAAGTAGTACTTATGCGACCAAGATAGCGTGCCTCGTGTAATGTGGCCGCTAGCCATTGTCACGAGACTTAATACATCGCGGGACGGAGCACTCCGATCTGTACGGTCAAAGTAGGTAAAAAACCTTTAAACAGATCGCTCCGTCAACCAGCTTATTCCGTTGGAGGCTTCACTCCAAATCGTACGACGCGACGGAAGAATCTCAGTCGAGGATGTCAAGAAGGTCATCTACACCGACACCGACAAGTATTCAACCGCCGCGTGCCATGAAGAGGACACGGTCACGATGAGTGCAATCCCCCTTTCATTCATTTCATGTGTAATTAGTCGTTCTTTTCTCTCTCCTCTCTTTAGCTAGTCATTTTCTCCCTTTCCTAGTAAATTTCACACAGTAAACATTTTGATTTTAACTTTTCCCTAGTCAAAAACTACTTATTCATTTTGAACATAACACTTTTTTCCTTTCGAAATAGCTTATCTGCTCCCTTAGTTACTATTTTATGCCTTTATACCCCTCCTTTCTCTCCACTCCTTTACCCTGATTGGGTACTTTTTCCTCATCGGACAGCGTTCATTTATAATACGTTGTGCAAAATTCTCCTTTTTCAACGAGAGTTTACGCACATAGCCGTTGAGTAGGATTATTGTTTGTACTATGTCTGACCCGGCAGGGACAGTACATAGACTATCGCCGCGGGACCCATGTGCTAATAGCCACGTTGATAGCGACCCAAGCCGCTATCGATTGACTGGTCACAGCAGTCATCGCTGTTTTCCTACTCAGTCGTTTACCATTCTTCCTTCTATCACTTAATCTTTATCGTATACCGTATCATTGTAATTCTATTACGTATCTTCAGGATAGTTTATTCGAACTATTGCTGTCAGCCACTATGGTTAAGAAACGTTCAACTCGTCGAGGGTGTAAAAAATCTGCTTCGTCTGGCGCCGAGGATTCGCAATCTACTACTACACAGGACACTGCTCAGGTTGATTCTTCAAACAGTGTATTTGCTTCCTCGGTAGCCATTACTTCGTCGCCCTCGCAGGGAGAGCAGAGTGCCATTGCACCGGCGGAGGATGCGCAAGGCTCCACAGAGCCTATGGTTCAAGGAGCTTCGCAACCTCAGCAGGACAGCGACACACAACCTCCGGCTGAAGGTAGTACGTCGAGAACAGAAGTTGTTGAATCTATGGAAGTGGATAATTCGTTGCTAGCACAAGATGCGGCCCGGGTTGATGCTCCTGCTGCAGCCCAGCAACAGTCGAGCACCCCGACAGCTATTACGTTCCGCGAGAAAACCATTCGCAAACCGTTTGTGAAGCCGAAGCCTAAAGGATCTTCGGATCCAGTCGGCCAAACGCTCACGGACAATGCTACGGTGGACTCGCGTACTACGTCCGTGCCTTCGGAGCACGATACTTCGTTTCTTGTACCATCTCCGTCAGATGTGCCGGTCCAACTCACGTTCGACCCGAGCACTCAGACGTTGAGCCAGTATAAAGAAGTACTTCGTGATGTAGCGTTTGAGATGCGCCAGGCCTACGAAGAACATCGTAGGAATGCTGAGCAGCTCACGCTACAGATTTATATTCCGTCACTCGTTCAAGGGCAGGGCACACCTTTACAGCCCAACCGTACGGCACACGACGTTAGTCTCTTGCCGCCGGTTACGCCCAATAGTTCGTTCTTCGTCAACCTCAACACTGTAGAGGAGTTGACGGCTCTGCAGTTGAGAATGGTATTTAACTTTCTCTCAACGCCGCCAGCCGACGGCGACGATCCAATTCCGGTCTCCGCCCTCAACTCTCAGAGCACAGTAGAGAATCACATCTACTATCGCTCTCTACTTGCGGTTGTTACTTCGTTTAGGTTACTACGTACAACGCTTGACAATGCTGTGCAGATCATGGGTGAATTCTCGGTGGTCATGCATGCCACAGACCCGTGGAAGTATAACTTCGCGTGTCTTACAGCATGGATCTCAGAGTTGACTCATGTGTTGACAGCTATCACAGTTCATCGAGACATCATCCAAGAGGAGCTTCTACCCCACCTTGTGATGAGGTCCGCAGAACGTGAAGAGTTTCATAATGCGTGGCGTCAAAATATCACTGCTAATACGTTACATGTACTGCTTCAGAGGGCTAGTGGCCGTTTCCGGGCGTCTCACGAGGCAACGGTCTTCAAAGCCTTCGATAGCTCGCTTAGCGTTCGGTGGGTGACGAGGGGATTGCGTCGATCTCGTAGCGGATTCAGACGATCCCTGGGAATTTTCGGAACAAAGCGTTATGCGACATTAGTCCAGTGGTGGGAGAGCACTATATGAGCCAGTCATAGTCAGTCGAACGCCTATTTCGCCTCAAAGAGTGCTTGCAGAGACTTGACGTATACTTGCGTCCAGGACCATCAGCATCTACGTGTCGAGCCCCTGGCACTACTACGTTCAGATGGTCTACCCCGAGGAATCCAAAATGCAAATGGGAATGGGTTGCGCCAAAAGAGTCACCAGTACTTCGTCAGGATCAGCGTCCGGACGCCACTCACCACGTTCCAGTGAACTTCGGCTGCGCGCCACCATCGCCTGGCGAGTTTTCGCCAAGTGGGGAGGGCTGGACCCCAGGGGTCAGATCCAGGTCCGCCGCGGAGTCGACCGGCAGAAGAGGAGCGCGAGCGGTAAGCCAAGACTCGCTGAAAGTCGATGTGGGAACCGACGCGAGTATTCCTCGCGTCGAGTTCCAGTTTTACGTACGAGGAGCCATGCACAGAAGACAGAAGGCGAGGACTGCACACACTGCCAAGGCAAAGCAGTTCCACCCCAGGGCAGCCACTGTTGTTCATCCACGGCATCACTTTTCGGGCGAACTGTGAACAGGTAATAGGCATTAGCGGTGAGTGCGGCAAACTTCCGTCGTAGACCGTACTGCCCGCGTGGTCTTCGTAGACACTATGGACAGTGTATCCGTGGCCGTATGATGTGGACTATGCGGAGAGCTGGATCACCAGGAAGCAATCTGCCATAAGAAATATCTTCATCGTTACGACATCAAGGCGTATGAGGACAGCGATTTATCGAAGTGTCCGCGGGATAACAACAAGAACCAAAAGATATCAGAGGTCCCGCGCTTCACCACACGCAAGGTCAGCGCCAGCGCATGGAATTGCCGAGGGCGGGCCTTTCATGGAAGGCGTGTCCAGAGAACCCTCGGATCGCGAGGGAAGGCGCTGAGGTGAGTGATTCATACTACGTGCGGGAAGAGGCGTTCCCGCTTTTACGTTGGCGATGTAAGTGAATTTCTCCTTCATCGTGGAGGGGAATTAGTTGTCCCCCGCTATTACGTGGCCAGTGCGGTTTGGCCCTGGTCTATTACGTACAGGTTAAGTTCGCTATAGGCTGTTGGTTAATGGGCGTTTTCAGGTTAGCCGCGTTCTTAGCTGTGTTCTATTCGTCACAGGCAGTCATTTAGGTAGTTTGCCACTTATTTGACTCGTGTAGATGTGTCTTGCTTGGTTTATTTTTACGTTCGGGTCTAGGAACCTTTGGCGTGTGACCCCCCCCTTTACTTCGTTTAGTTTGAGTCGTCCATCTAGCGAGTGACAGTGTACAGCGCGACGACGATCGAGATGGTTTATGGCAAGTGGGATGTGTTGGTTCGCAGGACGTCAGCAAGCTGGCGGTCCGAGATGCGAGTGGTCGAGGATAGAATCCGGCGATGAAGTGAGTTCGATGATGACGACGTGCTGGGGGCGGGGAGGGGCAGGACAACAAAACATCAAGCAGTTCATCGCCCACGTTGGTCGAGATTAATTCGCTGAAGGGTTGTGATGGATCGGGTTGGAGGAAGAGTTGCGGCGAGCTACCGACACCGTTTTGGCAGTTCAGTCCTTTTCTTTGAAGTGGCCCTTAAGGCGCTTCGTATGATAGAGTGTTTTTTTGGAGTTGTCCTTAAGACGCTCCCTTAGCCTTTTTTGTGAGTTGCCCTTAAGGCACCTTAGGTGTTGTGTGTATTTCGCTGTGGGGGTTTTAAGCTAGTACGTTTTTAAGCATCGTTGTATTTTATTTCCCATTGTCTTTGGGTCACCCTTAAGGTGTCCCCTTGTTCTCTTTTTGGTTGCCCTTAAGGCGCCTTTGGTTTTTGTCGAAGATTTATCACATTGACGATGCTAGGGTTGCTCTCGGAGCACCATATTACGTATGAGCCATTGACTTGTAGTTTAGAGGGTCACCTGTAGGTAGGAAAAATGTGTAATGGTGTCGTGCCAAGCCAGTTGCCTTAGGGGTCTCAGTCTAAGTGGCTTTAATTCAGGGCGCCCGGTGTATTATGTACCCAGCAGGGGCATCGTGGCCTCTCGCGTCCGCCGAGGCACTTTTCGCTGTCTCGGGAGTGTCGCGGATGCGACGGTGGCCCGTGGGCGCACCGCGCGCCCCGGCCCATTCATGCTCGGATGCCAATGCGCAATGCGCCGCGCAATGCGCTGGCGTCATTGGCTCCACCCCCTACGGTCAGTGCCAGCGGGCAGTCGTCGTCTGTGCCTTACGGCGAGCGGTGACCTGCCTTGCCTCGGACGTCCCCTATGTTTGCCTAGCTGTCAGGGGAGTGTATCGAATGGCGTTGAGCCCCCTAGCAGTTGATGAAATGTCTAATACGTGTCCCAGTGCTGGTATCCAGGGGTTTGTCGGTGCTCACCGGGCAACGCGAGGAGGCCCCGGAAGGCGAGGAGGGATGTCCCCTCCGAGCTGGAAGGTTGCGGAGCGCCACCCGTTAACTGGTCGTGGTCCCTCCCCTGCTCCCCGTCTGGGAGCAGCCTGGTATCGTGTCCCGTCTCGGACCCGCTGACCGTGCGGGCCCCCTAGAAGTGTAACATCCGAGCGAATGGGGGTTTAATACGTTAGCCAGCTGGTGAGGCACACCCATGAGTGAGGTGGCTCAGGGAGTCTGATGAGCAATGGTGTACATATTACGTATATAATAAACGTATTAGTAAATATGTGTGTTGTGTTTGTGTAATGTTGTGGTTTTACCCTAACTCTGTACGTGTAGCCGTGGGCATTGTGTACTAAGGTTATGGGTCAGGACGCGTTATGCCCAGCCAGCGTAGTTCCGCGTGTGCGGCCGGCTGGAAGTTCCCTTAGTCCCCGGGGGAATGGTCCGCACCTCCTGAAAGGTGCGCAGGAGAGGCGTAGTTGCACGATGGGAAGCCTTGGCGAGCCGCTGAGGTACTGGGAGGTCTGCCCACCGTGTGCTACATGCAGCCTCTCTTCTCTCATACTCTCCTCTTCGCTCTAAGTCTTTCACTGACTTACTAGGAAAGGGTGAATGGTTGAAGTTGCTAAATGCAATGAGACCTAAACTGGTAGATGTGTTTTTAGACGCTGATCTCGAAACTGCTTTCCAAAACAGCCGGTCGATCCTTTGAATGGAGTTATGAAATGAAATAGATCAGCGATACTGCTTTTGGCTCACGGGCGAGAGGTCGGAAGATGTCCCCTGACGGGTGATTTGGCAACGAATCTCCCCTATCAGGTACTTCTATCTCCGAGACGACGGGACAAACGCCTCACCTCTCTGCTGGAGACGCTGTCAAGAGTTTTGCAGGCTCCATGTACAGTCCTTACAAGTAGCGCCAAAACTTGTTAGGAACTCCATGCAGATAGTTTGCACGGGTAACAAGTGGCAAACGCTAATCTCATAACATAGTTGAGAGGCTTGATCATCCATATTGCCGCAAAGGCAAAGAGAACCCGTCAGGGAATCGATGTTACCACCTCTCGTCCGTGCGTCCGGACTAGAACCGCAGCTCTGTTTTGCCTCATACTCCATTCACAAAATCGATTCACAGATTTGAAAAGCAGATACGAGATCACCGTTAAAAGACACATCCAAAAGTGTGAGTCTCATTGCATTTATGAGGATGTAAGGAGCGTGTGCCATATAAAATCGAATTTCGTCGTGTGTCCAATTAGACCATCTACATGATGTGCTACTTAGGTAAGCGAAAAGTTGCTCTTTCCAGGAAAACACTCTCTCCGGAATTCCATAAAGTTTCGAAAATAATGGGGACGTTTTCTTGCAGCTTGTGTAAGTCTGGTTTTCGAAATGTTTACTTCATGAGTTCAAACATAGTCGAACTGCAACGTAGGCAACCACAAATGTGAACATGACTTGAAGAAGGCACTGCATCGAAACGAACACTTCGTCGCTGGTTTTAAATGTTCACAAAAGGACTGGAAGACAAAGAGCGATTCGGCCGATCATCGCTAGTTGATCACGAAATTTTGATGAAAGCAGATGAAAGATATCGTTGTCAACTTCTGAGAGAGATTGCCAAGAAGTCGGTGTTTCCTATACAGTTGTTGCCGATCACTAAACAGCATAATGATCAAAAAAACTTGGCAAATGAGTGCCGCATCACCTCACGAAACAGCAACAGCTGTTCACGCTAATGCAGAAGAGAATTTGGAGCAGGGTCAAGCGTGCGTTGAGGATTCCTCGACAGGTCGGCATGGAGGTCGTATTTGGCCGGTGAGTGCATTAGTAGGGCGTGTGTCACGGTGTCTGTTTCGCTGTTTGTTTCGGTGTCTGTCTCGGTATCCGTCTCTCACGAGGATCCCTACTTTCTGGAGCTTCACCTGGAGAGACCGAATCAAGTGTGAACTAGGTGTACCATATCTCGAGAAGTACAAAGCATTCATCAGCTGAGCGGATCCCGCCCACATCAAAATCAGCGGTAGTGAGAACCATTTTAAAATAAGTCACAAAACAGTCTCGAGACGGGGAAAAAGTGGGTATAGGTATGCAATGGTAAGCCAGATCGACTGAAGAGGCCCATCTTCTGTGGGCGAGGCGTTCTCTAGAAAAGCGGTGCCTAATGAAAAATTCGGCACTCGGTTAGAGCTCACAAAGCAGAAATGTAATCGGTGAAGGGAAGCAATGAATAACGTTGTTGCAGCATACATGATGTGAGCGGAGGCTCGCACACAATGGGCGGAGCGTGTCCTAATGCGTTTTCTGCGAGTCCTCATAATTCGGTGAAGAGGTTCTTAGCGAGCGGAAGGAAGCTAGATGGAGTTCACAGAAGGAAGAGAGGTTAACTGTCAATGGCGGAGTTATGTGCGCAAAAATGGGCGGAGTTTGCCTCCAAATTTATAACTCGCTTCCAAGAAGTCTCGGAGACCGGGAAAAAGTGGATAGAGGTCGGCAAAGGAAATGAGGTCAACTGCCATTTAGGGGCGGGCGTGCACCCAAGTGGGTGGACTCATCCGCGAAACATAGCAATTCGGTTCAAAGATGTCTCGGAGACCGGGAAAAAATGGAAGACTCTGACAATGGATAGTGTTCTTGGTGAGTGAGCGCGCAGCAAGGTGGGCGAAATTTGCCAGGAATCGTTACATTAACATGAATGGCCCAACACTGCAGTCTCGTGTGATTCACGCGAATCTCAGCCAAACTGGTAATATAATGTACTGGCTTCAACATACTGATTCTGTTACGGACGGCTTAGTAGAAGATGTCCCCTGGAGGCTTGTTTGACGAAAACAAAGATGAAGTTGTTCTGGTAATTCATTCGAAAAACCGGGAAGACCGCTACGCGTTCAAATTCCCACCGGACATCTGTCACAGATGCTGCCGGCGGGAACTCTTCTACCCAGCTCACAGAGTGCTGTCACTGCAGGGTGCCTCAAAATTACTTGCTCAATGTTACAGCGTTTGTTCCGTTGATATTTGAAAGCGATGAGAAAACAGTTTGGTGATCAGGTTTTGATTGCCACATCACTGCTACGAATCCCACTTCTCAGCGTCCATGTTTTTCAGGATGGTTGGCCTTTTTTTTCGACTCACGAACCCTCACTTAAAGCCATGTAATGGAATTAGGTCCCATGAGCCAGTCCCTTCGAATGAGAATCAGAGGTTCCAAAGGCAGGAGGCAGCGCTGCCTCTATACGTCATAACTCGGCCGGCCCTATTAATTCAGCGTTCTCTATGATGCTCTTTGCTTTTTCTCCTCACCAATGTTCCTCGTTCCACTCCTTGCCCAATTTTCAATCAAATAACGCATCAATTCGAGCCCGACTCGTGCCTTTGAGTGTGCATGGTCCCTGTGCGAAAACAGTAGCCGAAGCACTATCAGTGCGCGGTAACTGTGAAGTTCGTTATCAAATGATAAAAGGGCTCTAGAGCTATGAAACACCACTGAGAAAGGTAGGCACCACCCGGTAAAGTGGTACGAGATATGATGCGGCCCAACTACACTACATAGGTTGCTAACAAGCATGGTCAAAAAGCTGGAATAAGCTATCCCTCAATGTGTTTTTATATGTGCGAGTAAGCGACTGCTTGAGATAACAGCTGTAAGAATGCCTCACTCCATGCTCCATCCATAAAGATAATCTGATGCGAGAATCCCAAGATGTTTTTCGAATGATTACGCCAAGCCGCGCGCCACCAAGTGATGGTCTTCTTCGATAGAATGTCGCTCAGGACGAACCCAACTCCCGATTGTTAGAATTTTTGACCACTTTGTCTGGTAGCCGTGAAGTCGACGATAGGCGGTGAATCCACGAATGTTACGGAAAAGCATAAAAATCGTGATTTGACTGCGATGCTAGGAAGTTATGCTCTTCCCACGTTATCGAAGAGTATATCAACACCACAGAAGGTGACCTGAGAGGTGTGCTGACTAATTTCTCACTTTCGTTTACAACATCACTAAACGAACGGATCAGCCTTGGTCTCACCAGCGCTTAATAACAGCCAATGACAAGAATTTACTCAAACAGAGTGAGATATTACGTGTTGAGCTTTTTGGAGAGCAACGCTTGCTCGTAACTACGCCATCCTGTGCAGAACAGACAACGAACCTGCTCGACGTTTTGGAAGAAATCTCGTCGAAGCACCTACGGGGAACGCTGGAGACCTCTCCTCACAACTGATGGCTAATTCTGATCCGAGGGAGACACTTTGAGATGTGAAGCCGGGTTTGGTAATGGCAATTCATTCGTAAACCTCTACTAGAAAATGAGCCCTCAATTTATTGTTTCATAGTTCTCACAAGGGCGGAAATTTAAGCAAGTATTTGGTGCACCGTGTAGAAACTCTTCGACCTTTTGACTTATTGGACTGACATCTCACAGTTCTGCTGCATCATATTCTACCCATTGGTTTTCTCAAATCTCCACAATCCAGTGCTTCAACCAGATCCTTTCATTGCGTCGCCTGATACGCCACACACTTCTTTCCCTGCCCCGCATGTGGCGCCTTAAACTGCCCATAGAGCGTGGTTAGTTTGTTTCTCTTCGGAAATTAAATTTTCGTGCGTGAAAGAATGCAAGAAATTTCCAGATGGATTTCCTTAAATGCAACACCACGGGAAAAATACATGGAAAAGCCGTCAATATCACGTTATCTGAAGGAGAACAGTTTTGGGACTGTTCTCCTAATTGCTTTTATTTCCGTTTTTCTTCCAGTGGGCAAATACTTGGCTCCTCTTCAGACAGCCTCACTTACCACGTTCTGGTGCGCTGACACACCAGAGAAACACGTTAGCAAACGTTTTTCTACAGACACAACACAGAGCACTATCAAAGAAGCTATCATCAGTAATGGAATAGTTTGGAATGGTTACCCCCCAGGAGGCCCGTCGCGCGGCAAGAAGGCAGAGTCGTCGGACGAATTGCAGCGCTTGGTGTGCGACGTAGGACGTGCGGCACACTCTTTTAATTTGACGCGAAAATCCCTGTAGTGCGCGCGCTACTCGGCCGCTGACTTTGCTTTTTTGCCGCGCGGTCTCCTGGGGGGAACCCGTTTGGAATAACAAGAGGAACCACTTTTCAGTGAATGCTTAGAGATCTGCATTCCAGCTTTTATATTTCTGTAAAAATATTGCTGTATTACCGCATAAGTTAGATTATATCAAAAAGAATCTTCATCATTCAATGATGAATGGAATGTGTCATTTGTCAATATACTGTTTTTGCTAACGTTATCTTGTTTTTCATCCTTCTAGAGAGTGCCTTGAAGTGCTCGCAAACTCTTCTTACAGGCATTTTTAGGCAACCTTGTGAAGTGGTTATGTCAAGTTTATGAAGCTATGCTGCTGAGCAGGCAGAAGCACGCTCCCCAAAGTGTTGATCCAACGATCTCTCACATGTGGGCGCGAACCACCACCTCTGTGCTCTTCAGTTTCACTACCTCGTTCAGAGAATCGTTAAGCAGACACGGAAGTAGATCTGCGCTGTACGCTTCAATGCGAATCCAATAGTATACACCTTATTGCAGTTGGCCGGGTTGATCTATTGAGCTTCCCTCATGTGTGGCATTACAAAGTCAAAAAGAATAATCGGAAATTGAATAGTCTTCAACAAATTTTGGCTGTACACAGGTTTATTAACGGATCACGCTGAATTATCGTTTCTGCACAAAAGTGCTACTTTCCACGGAATCTGTGCCATATCCCTTTGTTTTCCTTCCCCGAGCGCAGATCTTCTTCACTGGAAGCGCTCTTTATTGTTCCATTTTGGGATCGTGCTGGAAATGATTGGAATTAGTTTTTTTTTCACATCTATACCTCACTGAAACTGAAACAGTGTCGTAGAAGGTCGTTCCTTGGCAATGGTATTGAGCTCAACGATAGGATCTACATGTAAAAAATTAGAAGAGGTTCCGCGATATAGTGCGAAGTCAAAGAAGGGAACACCTACCTAGTGGAAAGAAAGGCGACCATTTATGGGTGCAGACTAAACGCAATCTGCAGCGAAGGGCATGACGATTTTGCATAATCGTCGTCGTGCCGTTATTGTCGCTGCCGGCCCACCCCGTCACAGTCTGGCTTTAGCCGCTTACAGGCGTTAGCGTTGATGAGGTCAACGCGATGAGACACGCTAAACAGCAGATCAACGCCAAAAGGGTGTCTCGTTTCACAAGTTTCAGGTTGTTTTCTTGGTTTTCTTTCCATCCCCGCATCACTGGCCACTAGGGTGAATATCAGTCGAGGATTTCTCGAGGTTTTTTGCATTATCAGTTACGCTCTTCCGCGCCGACATTAACACCCACCATGCTCGAGCCATCTGTGCTCTCCGCGCGAACGTTCACTCTCGGCACTACTCTCAGAACCATAGTCGAGTAATCTCTCGACCGTTATTCACCCTGCTGGCCACCTCTACCTTGATTTCCTTTGAGCTGCCATCCCATCGTAAATCCGTCTTTACGGGAATGACGTTTTATGAACGAGTCAAAATTTTTTGATTGTCGAGATTTCAACCAATAGGAGCAGGTCTACGTCTATGAAGATAATGAACCTCTAAACTATATTAACCCACTCGCGACCGGGCGGGATTTT